ACATATTATTTAGTGGACATGCACAGTATTATTGCCTGTACGAGGTCAACCAGTGCCCAGGACAGAGACACCAAACTGCACCCCCCTTCCCATCTGTGCACTCGATCATCTTCTGCAGGAGGGATCCTACTCCCAAGTGCCAATGCGCTTGTCTCAGCATTACTGGTTTTATGTGAACATGGAATTCCACATTGACATTGCGGAACCTTCCTGTTGTTTTTCCTGTGCTGGTATCTTTGCATTGATTGTGGATAGCACAGCACTGGAAGGTTGCTCTGTGCAACCTTATTGCACAGAGCGCTCACATACCTTCTCTTTGGCTGTCCTGCACTGGCGCTGTCCAGTTTTCTTCCTCTGGGTACCCCCTCAGCAAGCATAGTACATTTTTGGGCTGCAAGCTAATCCAGTGGTAAACTGTTGCTTTGGAGAGCTCGTTAGAGTTGTATTTGCTGTGTTGCCCATTCCTCAGTTGTACTGCTGTTGGATATCCCTCAGAATTACCCTGTGCCCTTTAATTAATGAATGATAAAGAAAACTTACCGTAAAATAATTTTCCTGGAGTTCAATGGGAAACACAGGTCCCACCCCTCTGTCTTTATGATTCACTCCTTTTTTCCACAAAACTGGAGCATGATGGGAGTGGGAGGAGCTATATTTGGCTTGTGGGTGAGTGCAGCGTGGTGCAGTGACGTTAAATTACATTGAGTCTGGTTGCAGTTGACAAAACTTGTATTGAAGAAACTGCTCAAAGACACAAACAGCCCAGCGGGAAGACACTCAGCTGGGAACTCTCACAGTTTTATGCAATGATGTAGAGTGGATCAGGTCCTAATACACTGACAACGTCTGTCTCCGAAAGAGCAGTGGAGCCAGATCAGTCTGAGCCCAATGAGGAGGATTCTTAGGAAGGATAGTGTGCCCCCATCCTGTCCCTGCTCATCCGGAACCAGGACCACCATCAGGAATCATATGGACCATTATGTCCTATCTTTCCTAGCCCCTGCCCCCCCTCCCTCCAAAAAAAAATCCCTAGCAGTCTAGTGAGAAACGTGCTTCTTATATTGCCTGGTGGTCTTGAGGGGTACAAAAAAAATTCACTACTTTCCTGGGCAGTTCTTGCTTCATATAAGGTTAGCATGCACCAGAGTTTGTCATCACTATGGAATTAATGCTAGCTCCCCACGATTACAGAGCACTGTGGAGTCTGCACTTCTTTCCCTCTGATACCTGGACGTCTGTTCGGGGTATCAGAAGGACAGTGTAACAGCTCTAATGATTGAACTGTGAGGTGTCCCAATTGGACTCCTCGCAACAAATAGCTGCCTGCACCCACCTCCTTCTGCCAGCCAGTGTCTGATCAGACACTGGACAGAGGCTGCAAGACCAAGTGCCAATGCGCTTGTCTCAGCATTACTGGTTTCACGTGAACCTGGAATTCCACATTGACATTGTGGAACCTTCCTGTTGTTTTTTTTCTTCTGGTCTCTTTGCATTGATTGTGGACAGCATTGGACTGTCCAGAGGCAAATCCAAAGGCAGGAACCCTATCACAGGTCAGGTGAGGCCGTTGAACTCACAATCATTTCTCAGCTACTCCATCTGCCTAAGGGTAATATCAAACCCATAATTCTATGTCTAGGCCTCACCGACACAGCTGAAGAACATGAGCAACTAGTTGAACATAGCAACCAATCAATAGTCTTCCTTCCCAAGGAACTTTCCTGGGCAGGTTCTGGAACACAGGAAGCATTCCAGAATCAGGCTCACTGCTGACACTCTAAATATAGTCATCCAGTATAGGTCCAATACTAGGAAATGCCAGTATTTAATGCAGTTACATAAGAAAGGTCTGGATGGAAGGCATGTAATGTGATACAGTAGGCGCAAAGGTTATTATGAATGTTAATCACTGTTATTATTGGATGTACTTCTAGACATTCTAAATTGAACAATTTTTTTATGACTGCATTATTCAGCACTGTAGAAAAATCATTTCTGCAACTATGTTGCTATTTACACATAAAACTAAATTTTGAATTAGGCTGCTAAATTTTGACATCTTTTATCAGCAACTAATATAAACTAGGTTAAAGAAAGTTTGACAAAAAAGAATTAAGAAAGGTACCAATTCCCTTTTTGATGGGCCAAGCTCAGAAAATCTCAGCTCAACAACTAATAATATTGCAAGTGAAGGACAATGGAGAAGGGCTATGTATAAAAATGTTTTTAGTTCTGTAGCTTTGCTTTGTAGAGTGAGCTGTGGTATTCTGGCTTCAGATTCATCCTCATGTTGCTTTTCTTTTTCCGCCTGAAAAAAACATAAAATGCAGCGCTGTACAATATTAAAAAACAAGGTGCTAGTAAATAAAGTGACAATAGTGACAGACTCAAAGGGATATGTCTTTGATAACGTGCATGCGCATGAAACGTGTGGATTCATCTGGATGATCTCATTCATTTATTGGACTGTTCACTATTGTCACTTTGTATTAACTTTTAGATATCACTTACTCGCTGTTATTTAGCATGACACATGCAATACTATTCACTTTATTTTTACAGCGCCTCACTTTGAGTCTGTCACTATTGTCACTTTATTTACTAGCACCTTGTTTTTTACTATTGTACAGCGCTGCATTTTACATTTTTTTCATGTTTTTGAGGATATAGGGGTTCATACTTTTATGCTAGCTGCTTTGTGTTAGTCTGTGCGCTCGCTTCTTTTGCCTTTATTAATTTATTTTTCCTCCTGCCTCTGTGTCAATGCCCAGGGAAGTTATTAGGACTTCTTCTTATTTCACATACAGTAGGTGGAAACAGTTTTACAGCTCATACACATGAGTGCATCTAATGAGCCTGAATGTCTCAATACAGAAGGGTACTGCAAGAAAGCATTTGCTATGGGTGGGAATAGTCTTGTAACTCACACACATGAGCACAGGAGCCTGTATGTCTCAGTAAAAAAGTGAGCTGAGGAAAGTATTTTCAATAGGTGTGTAGAGTGATGAGGAAAGTATTTTCTGTGGGTGGGTACAAATTTAGAACTAATGCATATGAATGCCTCTAGATTGAGAGCCTGAATGTCTCGATGCAGAAGGGTAAGAGGACATTTTTTTCTATGGGTTGGATACAGTCATAGAGATTATTCATAAGAGTGTTTCTAGTGAGCCTGTGTTTCACAATACAGAAGGGTGTTGAGGAAAAGCATTTGCTATAGGTGGAAACAGTTTTAGAGCTCATACATGAGTGCTGCTAGAGAGCCTGAATGTCTCAATAATGAACAATGCTGAGGAAAGCATTTGCTATAGTTGGGAACAGTCTTAGAGGTCATACACTCAAGGGTGGTGAGGAAAGTATTTTCCATGGATGGGAACAATTTTAAAGCTCAAACACATGGGTGCCAATTGGGAGCCTGAATGTCTTAATATAGAAGAGTGCTGAGGAAAACATTTGGTATAGGTCTGAACAGTCTTATAGCTCCTACACAGCCTCTAGAGAGCCTGAACATCTCAATACAGTAAGATGGTAAGGAAAGTACTGTATATCATATGTGTGGAACAGTTCCCCACACATGGCTAATGTGCAAGGTAAAGTCTACAGGCTTGGAAAAATCTGTATGTAAATGGATAGAAAACTGGCTAAAAGATCGTATTCAGAGAGTAGTGGTTAATGATTCATACTGTGAATGGTCTAGGGTTGTCAGTGGTGTACCCCAAGGTTCAGTGTTGGGACCCTTACTTTTTAATATATTTATAAACAATATAGGGTCTGGGGTTAAAAATACCATTTCAGTCTTTGCAGATGACACCATGCTTTGCAACTATGTAGCAAATGAGGTTTAATGTTGATAAATTTAAGGTTATGCACTTGGGGGATAAGAATATGCATGCATCATACATACTAGGGGGAGTACAACACTGGGGGAATCAATGGTGGAGAAGGATCTGGGGGTTGTAGTAGATCATAGGCTTAATAATGGCATGCAATGCCAAGCTGCGGTTTCTAAAGTGAGCAAAATCCTTTCTTGTATTAAAAGAGTTATAGACTCCAGAGAGAGAGATATCATTTTACCCCTGTACAAATCATTAGTAAGACCTCATCTGGAATATACAGTTCAGTTTTGGGTACCAATTCACAAAAAGAACATTGGGGAACTGGAGAAAGTGTAGAGAAGGGCAACCAAACTGATAAGAGGCATGGAGGAGATCAGCTATGAGGAAAGATTAGAGGAACTGAATGTATTCTCTCTTGAGAAGAGGAGATTAAGGGGGGATATGATCAACATGTATAAATACATCAGTGGTTCATATAGTGAACTCGGTGTAGCTATTCACCCTTAGGTCATCACAGAGGACAAGGGGGCACTCTTTACATCTGGAGGAAAAGAGATTTAATCTCCAAATATGGAAAGGTTTCTTCACAGTAAGAGCTGTGAAAATGTGGAATAGACTCCCTCAATAGTTTGTTCTTGCCAGTTCACTGGATTGCTTTAAAAAAGGCCTGGGTTCTTTCATAGATACACATAATTTAACTGGATGCTAACATTTATAGGTAAAGTTGATCCAGGGAATATCCAATTCTCTCTTGGGGGATCAGGAAGGTATTTTTTCCCCTTCAGGAGCAAATTACATCATGGTTTGCTAGGGTTTTTTGTCTTCCTCTGGATCAACTGAGGGTATAGGATTATAATTTTTTTTTGGTTGAACTTCATGGACTTTTGTCTGTTTTCAGCCAGACTAACTATGTAACTATATATGTAACTATGGAAACAATCCTAGTGCTCATACACATGGGTGCCTGACAAAAGGCTTCTTAATAGGAGTACCAGACTGCCTGAGTGTATTTTTTTTTTTTTTGAGAAAGTGATTAATATTGTGAAAGAACAAGAACATCTTTGTAACCATTTAAAGTTAACAACATTTGACATCTTACCATTTCTATTAATAATTATTATTATCATAGCATGTTTGTTCATTTCCTAAAAAGAATATTATTCTAAAATGTTGACTGATTTTTTTTTTTTTATTCCAGTGGATGATACGGTGGTTGTTATTCCATATGGCAGTAGACATATACGACTGGTGCTTAAAGGACCTGATCACCTGTGTAAGTAAACTTACTTTTAATAACTTTGAAAATTTTCCCTTCCCAACATTGCCAGATAAAGAAGACTCTTTTCACTGATATGATTGACAAATCATCCGAGCTCTTTAGCATGAATATCATTTATGGTATTAGAAGTCATGTGAAGCTTTGTAGCTTTGTCGTGTAAGGCTTTTGTTGTTAAAACTGTCTTGAAAGCACATACACAGAAAACCATCAGTCATGTTATTTATTTCTTCAAACAATATATAAAATATTATTAACCATGCATATGTGGATTATGTTATTTAAAAACAAGGTAGAGATTGCTCAGGAGTATGGTGAGAGAGGCATTATTGAATTTTTTTACATGGCAGTAGTTCAGTGTAGACATAGGCACGCATAAAATAAAGTGTTTCTTTGTGCTAACCACCTGTAATACTCTGTACTGAGACTGGAAAATGAAGGAGAAGCATTCTAAGCCAATCAAGTTTTCAGGTTTCACTGCATTGCCTGATATGTGTGGAAATAACAAATGGAGTGCCTGAAGGAAAGAACATGGAGATGACCCAATCTCTGAGTTACTGCTCCTTCACTAACAGTCTTGACCAAGCTGTATTGTCTTGATGGCATTAGAGAAAAATGAATTGTCAGACAGGTGCAGTGGCAGGCAGGGTTTCTGGATTACAAAACTGACTGAAAGGAATTACAAAATTTTCAGAGACTATTTAAAAATATGGACTTTAACTACTTAATTAATTGTTTGCTTATACTTTTATATACGTTTAATAGAACAACTTTTAAGTTTATCAGGTAAATCGTTTTTTTGTCAGTAAAATATTTTATTTCAGTATTACACATATTTTGTATGGCCAAGGATGAAAGATACTTTTTACTGCTTTACTAATGCTTCTCAGCGCTTCTGAGGTAATACTATATTGGTTGTTTTTTAAAGGAAGGAAAAGTAAAGATATTTGGCATAGTAAGAAGTCACTTACCCTTCCTCAGTTCTGAACCAGAAAAATAACTGGAAATCTGATTTGTTGGTTTTGCCAAACTTCAACTTGTTTTTATTCCCATTCTTGAGGAATACCAACTGTAGAGCATGACACGTATCTTCGTTGTAGGATAACTACATCCAAAAGTCCTTCTTCCATCAAGGAACTAATGTATCTTATAACTCATTCAAAGGGAAACTTTATTCTGTGATTTTTCCCTTCAATCTTGTTTCTGGCACAAAGCAATTTAATGCAGTGCTACAAAACAAACATGTTCAGTGTTACATATTAACAGTAAGAAAAATGCAAACAAAAGCTAAAGGAAGAAGGTGATGAAGGCGTTAAAAAAGCAATTTGAACCAATTAAGTCTTTATTTTTAATCGGTTTACAATTCATACAGAACTCTAATTTATGAATACAGACTATAACTGTAGTTTTTAGCCATTAATGCATGAAGAGCAGGACAGAGTTTTCTCATTGACAACTTAGCAGTGTAGATTACACTGGAAGATCAGCTTCCCCAGTGTAAACAACAGAGCTGTAGTGTTCATGTGACAGCTATCCTCTCAACTCTGTTTATTAGGAATTTCTGATAAATTGCAGGGACAGCACCCTATTAATTACAACAAGAAATTAATCTGATCTGTATGTTGAAAGATTGGTCTTTCAGAGCTCAGGAGAAAGGAGAGGCAGAGGAGTCTCCCTCCCCAACTGGCCCTCTTTACCACAGTGCCTAAAGTAGGTGCCATTTATACCCCCCGGGTCAGCCTGTGCCTGTTTTTGGTTCTAAATGTGCTATATATATATATATATATATATATGTATATATATATATATTTTTTTTTTTTTTTTTTTTTTTAATTATTATTATTATTTTATATATATTTTTTTTTTACATGAGTTCGTAAGTAAAACATGTTGATAGGTGGCAACTATATCATTGATCTAAACAGTAACAAATTGTTAATTTTCAACATGAATTTAAAAGACAAACTCTCAGTATACCTCCAAGTCACAAGATACTCCTACCTTATTAATGCTGGTGGAAGTGATTATGTAATTATAACTTCAGTAACAAGAAACTATTCATTCAGCACTCTGTAATACCCATTTCATAGGAGTAAAATACAGGAGGACAAACCAAAACTTGAAAAGACAAAAAACTTTTTCTCCAAATACTTGATGCTACTGTTACCTTTTCTGCCAAATTTCAAGCAGGAAGGAAATGACTTGTAGAAACAGGAAATTCTAACCCTCAGGGGGCTGCACACCATATGGAAGTTAGCCCTGTACGGCACTTCATCAGAGTGCTGCTTGGTGACAATATTTTGCTGAAAACGATTCTGTGTTTACTTTTTTAACGTAATTACTAGCAGAGGAAAAAAAAAATCATGGTTAAATGGACTTTCTCTAGGCAGATCTGTCCTACTGAATTCAGTCATAAAACGAGCTAAATGACGGGAGGGAGGAAAGTGGTGACTGTTGATTTTTTCCCTGAAAACTGCCTTTTGGCACTGTATGAAACGTAGGTTTAGTGTATCTGCTAATGGCAGCTGTTTGATTTATACATTCATTTACATTTGGCCTTCTAAAACAGAACATTTTGTAGAGATTAGCACCTTGTAATCACTTGATTCTCTCAGATAGCTGCAAGGAAAAACTCAGGATTTATGAAAACTCTATTTAACAAATAGTACTGAGTAGGTAACTAACCACTGTGAAGAAAAATACAGTAAAATAGAAGAGAACAAATTATACTAAGTTATAGCTGTAGTATGATTATAAGTAAAATGTTAAAATTATGATAAAACTAAAAAAAAAACATATGATTGTGATTAAAAAAAAAAAATATTCTTCATAAGTGCTCCACTTAGGCAGGCCATAATTTTCTTTTTCATTCAGCCAACAGGTGATAAAAAAAAACAAATGGATTCCTCCATCCAAAACATAACTAAGGCCAATAAAGGGCTGAAATGCATAAGTGTTGGGACTGCAACCTGTAACTTAACTGTGATAATAAAGAGCATATGCGATCTGCAGTGTGGGTGCTTTGTATATGCACACATGAAGACTGTCTGACAGGAACCGGCAGTGAGAACCAAAAGTCTGCACAAGGTTCATGTTACCCTGGGTTGAGCAGCAGTAAGTTGTCTTGATCTTACATTCCCCCATCAACTCAAGTTAGATGGATGGAGCAATCCTCCCTGCTGTGCTATTGTATTCTGACAGTGGGGACTCTTCTACTGTCAGAATACACTGATCAGCGTTGCAGCCAATTGGCTACACCCCACTAATCAATAAGAATTTTCCAATATTCATTTGATCCACTTGTTTTGTGTGGGAATGGCCATATACGGATCAAAATTCGTCCGGTCACTGCTGAAACAGCCACATTTCAATACATCTATGGCCAGGTTTTTTGTTTACTAAAGGGCATTGGGCATTTGTCCTAGGAAATGCGGCCTGTGGATGACTGGGCCACGCAGTGGGAGGTAAGAGGCGACCGCAGTCAGAACAGGGTTAACACAGACCACGGCCACTGCTCGCCTTCCGCTGTGCTGCCATGCCTACAGCAGGGCTGGTTCTGGCAAACTACGAGGTGCAGAAGGGGACCTGCTAGCACGGGACACACCTCTCAGGCTGGCTGCTGGAAATACACTGCACTGACCACAGCGGTATCTCACCTAACCGTGACAGTTGCACAGTGGAGAAAGGTGAGTGCAGTGCAGCCACACATCCCACTCTGTAGCAGTGGTGTGTGTGTTTTTGTGGGGGGGGGGGGGGTGGCTCAGGCTGTCTTTTTGCTGGATTGAGCCATCTACTTCCTATATGGAGCTTTTTCTTTGATCGATGGGGCTGTATCTACACTGGATTGGGCTGTCTCTTTGCTATATGCAGCTGTCTCTTTGCTGGATTGGGCTGTCTCTTTGCTATATGGAGCGGTCTCTTTGATTAATGGAGCTGTCTCTGCACTGGATTGGGCTGTCTCTTTGCTGGATCGGGATGTCTCTTTGCTATATGGAGCTGTCTCTTTGCTGGACTGGGCTGTCTCTTTGCTTGATTAGGCTGTCTCTTTGCTGGAATGGGCTATCTCTTTGCTATGTAGAGCTGTCTCTTTGATCGATAGGGCTCTCTCTTTGCTGGATTGGGCCATCTCTTTGCTATGTGGAGCTGTCTCTTTGCTGGACTGGGCTGTCTCTTTGCTATATGGAGCTGTCTCTTTGCTGGACTGGGCTGTCTCTTTGCTATATGGAGCTGTCTCTTTGCTGGATTGGGATGTTTCTTTGCTGGATTCAGCTGTCTCTTTGCTGGATTGGGCTGTCTCTTTGCTATATGGAGATGTCTCTTTTCTGGACTGGGCTGTCTCTTTGCTTGATTAGGCTGTCTCTCTGCTGGATTGGACTGTCTCTTTGCTATGTGGAGCTGTCTCTTTGCTGGACTGGGCTGTCTCTTTGCTGGATTGGACTGTCTCTTTGGGATTGGGCCATCTCCTTGCTATATGGAGCTGTATTTTTGATGGATAGGGCTGTCCCTGCACTGGATTGGGCTGTCTCTTTGCTATATGGAGCTGTCTCTTTGCTGGATTGGGATCTTTCTTTGCTGGATTCATCTGTCTCTTTGCTGGATTGGGCCATCTCTTTGCTATATGGAGCTGTCTCTTTTGCTGGACTGGGCTGTCTCTTTTTTTAGATTAGGCTGTCTCTTTGCTGGATTGGGCTGTCTCTTTGCTAGATAAGGCTGTCTCTTTTCTGTATTGGGCCATCTATTTGCTATATAGAGCTGTCTCTTTGCTGGATTGGGCTGTCTCTTTGCTGGATTGGGCTGTCTCTGCTTTGTTATTTGCTATGGAGCTGTCTCTTTGCTGGATCGGGGCTGTCTTTTTGCTGGATTGGGCCATCTCCTTACTATATAGAGTTGTCTCTTTGATGGATGGGGCTGTCTCCGTGCTGGATTGGGCTGTCTCTTTGCTAAATGGAGCTGTCTCTTTGCTGGATTGGGATGTCTCTTTGCTGGATTCAGCTGTC